CGCCCAAACCCCTCCCGTCTCTCCCCTCCTACTAACAAGGGACCAGGCTCTAGGCCATGGGCTCTGACTGTGGCAGGTCCTTTTAGTCGCCGCCAGGGCTCCTCCTGCCTTCCCCCTCACTTAGCCAGCTGGCATCCTGCCCAGGAACTGGGGAAGCCATGCCCAGCTGCTGGCCTGGCCTGACCCCAGCACTTGGAGTGGGGAGACACAAGCTGGCAGCTCCCTAAGCCAGATGCTGAGAAGGCAGAGCCAAAGGTGGACACCTGGGTTCTCACACTAACACCCTGGGGCCCTGACATCCTTTTTGTGAGGAGGGAGGCCTCTATTTATATTTCCTCAGATAATCACCAAGCCTCCTGTCACCCCAGCACAGCCCTGGAGGAAAAGAAATCCTCAGTCAGGCATGTTCACTTCTTGCCCACAGGATCATAGTGTCTATAGCTCCTTTGTCACATCCTAACCCCATCGAAGAAGGTCTCCACAATGACCTAAACATTCCTCCTCCTCCCAAGGAGACTGGAAATGTGGCTTCAAATCTATATACTCCTCCCTCTTCCCTCTGAGAACTCAGGAACCCTGCCCCTTTGTCCCCTGGTCTCACCCCTTGTCTCCAAATTTAGTCCCAGACATCCTAACCCATTCATATATAAGCAGTATGGGAGACCCACACAAAGACACAGGCACAGACACACCCCACATATGCATTCTCAAATGCACAAGCATCACATACTCATGAGCACAAACCCAGAGGACAGCCTGTACCTGCTTTCAGCAGGGCTAGGTCCCTGGCTTTCTCTCCAGATGTCTCTGTCAGAGAGAACGGGGCTGGTTCTTCCCAGATGTCCCCTCTCCCCATTCTCCATGACCCCTGTCGGACTGTGGAGGCTTAGGGGACAGAAAGTAACTCCGCGAGGAGGAAGACACCAGTGCCACACAGACATGAGGCCTTGTTTGGCCTCCCTCCCCCAGCAAGCACGAGATTAACCCGCCAGACCTGTCTTGCTCAGGCAGAGACAGCTGTGCAGGAGGGGAACGTCTGGGCCTGGCCCAGCCCCTTTGCTCTAGGACACACAATCCTTCTTCCCACGACAGCCAAGGGAAAATTAGCCACAATTAACACTGGAGGCCTTGGTTTCCACTGCCTCAGAATCCGGGCACCTCCTTCCTTCATTGCTACTTCTCACAGCCCTAGCATCCTGCGCCCTCTTGTGCAGGAAGACACTCTAGGACTGGGGGATTGTGGCAGCCCCAGGTGTGGAAACAGAGTGGGGACCCTGATAGGAAGTCAGTAAGACGCCATGCCCCAGCAGCCCGCGCTCCCTCACCCCAGGGACCGCGGCTAATATGAACATGGAAACGGAGGCCGCCGGGGCAGAGACAAGGGCAGGCCAACTGGCTAAGGATCAGGGAAATGGCCTCGGTCTCCACCAGCTGGGGGGTGGGACACAAGCCCTGGGACCTCGCAGCCAGTTAACTCCACGCCCCACCCCAGCGGGAGGTTCCCGAACTTGGGAAGAAGGCCGTGGTGCGGAGAGGCAAAGTAGACGGCGAGGAAAGGAAAGGGAGGGCAAGAAAGCAAATCTAAGTCCCAACCTCTGTCTCACCAGCCACTCAATGCTGGCCTGGAGCCCAGACTCTCCCACATCCCGGCTCAGATCTCGGGAAGACGGCGAGGGAGGAGGGCGGCGAGGAGGGTGGGCGGAGCCTGGCGAGCCAGAGGACGCAGGAGGAGCCTCGCAGCGAGCCTCGCCTCCCGCCCGCCCCTCTCTTCTTCTAATCTCACCATCAATCTCTCACACATATATTTATTTTTTCTCAAATTCCCCTCCCTCCCCCACAACGAACCACCATAATAGGTCTGCTGCACATGCGTATTGCATGCAGGGGGTGGGTTTGTATTTTCAGACCTTTTGCAAAGAAACTACCAGAATTTTCCGCACCACCCACAACCATTCCCCACCCCCACCCCCAAGGAATCACATCTATATATTATGTTATATTATTTCTCTAGACTTGCCAGAAGGGGGAGGGAGAAGAAATGAGTTTTTGGCTTCCTGCTCCCTTCCCCCATCAGCACGAGTGCTATTATTTTAAACGTTTAACAATGTACGGAGACTGGAGAGGGGGGAAGGGATAAAATTGGTCTTGGGTAAGAATGTAAAACAAAATGGTGAGAATCAAAGCCGTCAGAATGAAAAACAATAGAAACCTCTAACACGTATAAACTCATCTTGTAGAGGAGGATGAGGGAGGGCAGCCTGAACATGTTGCCTCAGAGGAGGGTTATTTTGCCCACACTTAGGTAGAAATAATGGGCAGACTAAAAATATTTTCCTAAAGTTTTACCTCAGAAAGTCATCTGAGAGGGTGTATCTGGGTCACTCGTTTGACTTGGAGGGCTGAAAGGGAGATGAAATTGCCCAGAGAGAGAGAGTAGGTGGGTTTTCATTTCAAATATACCATTTTAAAAACATTTGACGATGCTTAGAAAGCAAAGGGAAAAGGGGAGAGAGTATTGACACAAAGACCCATCTCTACCTCAGATTCTTTCATGCCCTCCCCTTCACAGACCCAGATCCGGGATCAAAAACCCCCAAATACCACATTCCAAGTTCGGAATACACATAGGCAAGAGCTGCTAATGCCCTAACTTAACCTGACATCCTTTCTTCCTCTCTTTTTAGCACCTCTGCTGTCTTCCAGGCAATCCCCTACCCACAATTCTTTATTCCTTTTCCCTTCTGCAAAATCAGTGGACTCTCTGGGATAACTTTTAAAAAACTTTTCCGGTTTTCGGACCAGCCTGATGGGAGGGGAGGTGGACTTTATCTTGTTTCCATTAGATACACATACCCCCCTCCCCCGGCCCAAGAAAGCACCCCACAGTCCCTCAAAGGCTGTCTCAACTAGACAGGAACATTTGCCACTGAAGCCACACAGATCAATATAACAGTTTTACAAAGAGTATGATGTTAGACGTTTTTAAGTTTGGTGCATTTGTGCTGCACCGCACCAAGAGGCCTGGGGGTGTGAACACCCGAAAGATGCTCACTAGGAATCTATTCTGAAAAACACTAGCTGAACACTCTGGAGAGTGGCCGGAGCGGGACCACTGCTGGGCCCCTCTCACGAGGCAGCGGTCAGGCCCCTCCACCGCGGACGGAACTGCCCAGACAGTGCGGGTGACTTGTCATCCCCGGGAAGGGGTGCTGAGTGACGGTCAAGCTGCAGAACAGCTGGGTGGGCAGTTCACGCCCCCCAACGTGGTCAGGGTGTGGGTGGTTTCAGCGGGAGAGTGAGTGACAGTGAATGGCAGCCACGTGAGAGTCACAGCTGGGCAGCTCGGCCACCACAGACTGACGGGATCATGGTGGGGGGGGGGCGCACTTGACACAAAAGAGCCCAGAGCAGAAGAGAGATAAAGGGGGTGGGGTTGGGGGCATCTGGTCTTCCAGACACTCTCCTCTCTGTCCCCAATTTTCAATGACTGCTCTCCGTAGTACGAGCCGGAGAGAGGGGGCAGGAACCAGTCTCATTCCAGGAAGTGGTCCGCGTGGAGTGTGGCCACCACCTGCCCCTAGTCGTCAGCCGCCCGCAAACATTCACCCGACCCCTCCCCCACGTGCCACCGCACGCTCCAGAGTTGGCGGGCACCGAAGTCCCCGCAGGTGGGGGGGGGTCCGATGGTCACCCGCTCCCCCCGGCCTTCCCAACTCCTGACGGGGGGGTGAGGGCCGCGGTCCGCTCCTCGCAGGCAAACCCCACTTCGCCTCGGTCCAACCCCACCGGGGCCGAAGCCCCAGGGGCGCCCGCTCGGCCGCCCCTCCCCCACGCGCCCCTCCCCCACGCCGCCGTCCGGCCGCCAGGGTCTCCGCGGTCCCTCGCGCGGCCAGGGAGGGGGCCCTGGCTTCGCCTCGGCCGTTTCCTGCCTACCCCCTCCCCGCCGAGGGTTAAAAAAAAAAAATCTCCTCCTCCTCCTCCCCCGAAAGCCGCGACCGAGTGGCCCGGTCCGCGCATGCAGCTCGCGCCCAGCGCTCTCCAACCCGGGCGGCGGCGGCGGCGGCGGCGGCGGCGGCGGCGGCGGCGGCGGCGGCGGCGGCGGCGGCGGCGGCGGCGGCGGCGGCGGCGGCGGCGGCGGCGGCGGCGGCGGCGGCGGCGGCGGCGGCGGCGGCGGCGGCGGCGGCGGCGGCGGCGGCGGCGGCGGCGGCGGCGGCGGCGGCGG